AGAGAAAGCAGGTTGACAAACGTGAGAATGTGTGCCAGGATACAACACCGAGGCATGAGATTCATCAACGTCGACAAGACGAGCCGAGCGAATAGCCAATTTGGCCTTGTTGCTGCAAGGTTGACCAGGATGATAAGCTTCGTTGCACTTGAAGCAACGCTTGTAGTTCTTGTTGTTGTTGTCATATGGCTTGGCCACCTTGTTTCCTTGAGCAATGGATACCTCACGAGAGAGAAGGCGACATTCTTGAGTAGTGTGGTGACCCTTGCCATGCAAACGACGAATCTTGACCATTCCATTGCCAGGATTTTGCTTCTTGTTTTTGTCCTTATCCTTGTTGTCGGATGACTTGGCCTTGAAATGATGCTTTTGAGTGGCTCCAATGACAGTAGCGTATAATCCACGGGCGACATTGGCGGCTTGTTCAGTTGTTGATCGCAACTCCACTGGCAAATTGACTTGAGCAAGTCGCACTTGCTTGTACAAATCCGGCACCAATGATTTGGTATACACAGCAGCAATTGCTAGGTTATCATCCAATCCGGCCTCACGATGTGTCTTGTTGAATCGATCAGTATAATACTCAACAGACTCCTTGGGATCCATGGCCATGTCCAAAAGGTCAAACATAGCTTGTGATTGACGCTCACCATCGTGAATGCCATACTTCTTGATTAAGGTCTTGCGGGCAAAGTTCCAAGGAAGGTGCACATAAGGGCGCAAGTTGTCATCGTACCAGGATCGTTGCTCAGGGGATAGCATTCTTGGCAACAAACGGCCCCAAGCTTCATCCATGTCTTGATTATAGGATCTAACAACGTCCTCAAAACGGTTGAGGCATTCCTCCACAGAGCCAAAAGTAAGTTTGGTTTTGTCGTACACGTTGCCGGTCCATTGCAACATTGGCAAATCTTGTGGTACAACAGGTCTTGTAGAATGGCTGGACCCCTTGTCCTTCTTGCTCATCTTTTTGTATATGTTCTTTAATGTTTCAAGGTCCTTGGAGAGTTTTTGGCTTTCATAATGGATAGCTTGGCGTTGATCCTGGGTAATATCATCATCGGCCAAACGTTCAGCCAAATTTGCAAGCTTAACGGTAACCCGGTCAATAGCGTCGTTGGCACGCTGCAAGCTTGAAGTAGAGGAACTAGCACTGGTTGCCACAGAGGAGGCATCCTGGTGGTCGGGAGCAGAAGAGATAGGTGAACCAACATCCATGGGTTCAGAACTATGATCCGAGACAGGGCTTTGGGCTTGGTTGGTAGCGTTTGGAGAAGACATAATGGTTAATGGGTAAGATACGTTCTCACCATTGGGATCTTTAAACGTTGATATCTCCGGCCCCAGCAATGT